CCTGGAAACAAAACAGAACAGGATTAAAGCACCAACCTCTACACTGCAGCGCCAGCAGCAGCCTTTCCAGGGCTGAAATTTCCCTGTAAGAAAAGAAAAATGACCCAAATTCAGCTCTTCTGTTCATGCAGCTGTTTGTTTAGCCCCTGAATTCTATCTCGTGGTACTTCTCGTATACATGCATACAAGTTAAGTGTGTCTTCTCCAAATTCCCCCTTTCTTTGTTTGTAAATGGCTTTTGTCTCTCTTTGTAAATGGTGTTCCAGCTGAGCGTCGCCCAGCAGCAGCGGCGCACCACGTGCCCTTTCCACAGGAACTTAGGAAAGTGCAGTTGTTACCTCTTAGCCTTGATGTCTTCTTTTGATTTTATTCTTCAACTTACACTTAATAATTCCATGGAAAATCGTCCCGTGCCATCTGGGTGACATCACCCTATTTCAAATAGTTTCTCATTTTCTAATGCTTCTGATGGACCATATGAAAACTTCCCTTAGCAGCTAGGTTTGCTCGGGTTGATACTGTTCTTCTCTACCCTGGAGTAACCCAGTCGGTGGTCTCACCGTATTTGTGCACAAAAAGTTCGGCTCGTGAAGTTAACCACGGGTTTGGGTGGGATCTTCTTGGCGTGGTGACACCCTGTGCCCGCGGGGTGCAAGGTGTCACCCCAAAGCATCACAGGGATCACCATGTGTGGTATCGGAAGTCTGTCAGTGTGTCATAGGATGCCTGTAATTGCCGGAATTAGGGAAAAAACACGCGGAATTAAGCCAGAGAATCCCCTGTAAATGTTTATTGTTGCCCTCGGAGACGAAGCAGCTGGATCTGGGCTGACGGTGGGACTCTGCTCAGTTTGTGCCACCGTGGCTGGGCGTCACGGCTTTAGTTACCGCGTTGTGAGAAATAGTTAGCTGGTATATCCAAAACTTGGAAGATGTGTTTACTTTGTAGTGTTGTGGTTTTATTTTTCTATGGAGAAATTTAATGTGCCTGATTTTGTTTACATTACCAAGAAAAGCCCTTATTTAAAGTGGGGTGTGTTGCGCAGCTGACATTCAGTGCGCTGGTAACAGAAACAGAAGGTATTGGGTCTAAAGGTGACGTGTTTGTAAAGCCTCTTCTGATGTTGCCATCGGGCTTTTTGAATCGTTTGCAGTTTATTTTATACGCTTGTTGTTTTTTTTTGTTTTATCACTTTGCTGTATTTGTAATGTCAAGGTTTTACCTTTCCCAGCAGAAAGTATTACCAAAATAAAGATGGATTGGATTGTTAAATGCCTGGGTTTCTACAGTGCGTGTATTTTGACGTGCTGGAAATAAGGGCGATTGTTTTCAAGAGCCTTTGCTGTTCTCTGGGGTGCACCAGGGTTTGCAGGCGAGTGGGCTTGGGCAGAGCATGAGGGGCTCCAGCTCTTGGCGTGGCTGGGGCTCTCAGGCTGCAGTGATTGCTTATTTTTAATTTCATTCAGGGAATTACACTATTGCAACACTCAGGATTCATCCGCCCGCGGTTGTGTCCCTGTTTTGCAGCCAGATTAATTCAGCCCAGCGTCGGGCTCGGAGCGCCCCAGCGGCAGCGGCGGGGCTCTC